GTTATGTTTTGAATTTCACGTAAAGCTACACGAGGGCTATCTGCTCTAGCCGTCCCTAATTTAGCAGTGAAAGACGAGAGGGAAGGCAGCTAGTCATCACCACCCACCGCCAACTCTTGGGCTACTCTTTACCAACGAATAGTGTGATTGAGCGTCACATTATAACGCCTCCACGGCTGAAAAGGCGAGCATGTTTGGTGGGACGAGGGATATGAACCCGTGACCCTCAGATTACGAGTCAAGCGCCATAACCACCTGGCCATGCCGGGCCTTTGATAACAAAGCCACAACAGGCTATCTGCTGTGTCCACCGAGGGGAATCGAACCTCTGACTTTAGCGTTGTAAATCCGCAGCCTTACCGCTGTCCCATCGGGGGACAGTTAGAAAGACCCAATAAATGTGAGGAACAAGGACGGCTATAACTGGGGGTAGGGGAGGAGGCAAAGGATACTTTCAGCAGTCCTCAAATAGCCCTTAAGTTCAAGTCAGTATCACAAAAGATGTACAAAATTATCTAATTTTAAACAGTGGTAAATACGACTGTATATTCCCGCTTATATCACCACATTTAGGGGCACCTAAATATCCCCCCCCCCCAAAAAAAATGAGACTCTAGGACCGTTCCAGCTGATGAAGTTGGTAAAACATAACTTAAGTGTAAAAACCACATAAATAACCCACTTTAGCCCTCGAATTACTGATTTATTTTTTATAACATTTGGAATTGCCCACGTCCGGTGGCTTAGAGATAAGTATGGAGGTTTATATCGCTAAAAATCGGGTTTCGGTACCCGCTATGGGGGCGGCACAGTTCCCCCATCGTTTTCCTTCCTTTGTGCTTAACAATACAATCATTTGGGTTTAAACAAACACTATAATAAGCAACTGTATAATCTTGTTTGTTACAGATTAAGTGCAAAAAACAAATTATGTAAAATACATACGGGACCCAAGCGGTAATTATTGTTAATAATTATAATATTTAGAATAATTAAAAGATTATTATATTACTTGGATCCCTGTAACCAACAAAGTTTTATTGACCCATAAGTCAATTGGTGCATATATATATATAGTTCATATACGTGTTTAGAATGTCGATGTTAGTATATACATAATGTGTTCGTTGTTTTCTTGTACTCCAGATGCAGTAAGTGCCTGGGCGTGGCCTAGTGGTTAACGTTTGTTTGTTTTGAATTTCGCTCAAAGCTACACGAGGGCTATCTGCGCTAGCCGTCCCTAA